GTACATTTTTAGATATTAAGAATAATATAACATAGGGCAGCTTCGAAGACCAATATATTTTTTTATAAATACAATAAAATATATTAATTTTAACACTTAATTCTTTTAAATATACATATGTAAGTAATAATACACTATATTTGTCTTTTAAGTTGGAATTTTAAAATATTTAATGAATATTGTGCATGTCCTGAAAAAAACCTTTTTGTAAAATTATATATTTATAGACAGGTATTTTTCAGATCGTTTATAATTTCATGTTTAAAATATATTATTATATCATATTTTATAGTTCTTACGATCTAAATAGAAAAACATAAAATTTAGAATCTAAATTATATTATAAAATGTTAATATTTTAACTAATAACAGAATTATAAATAGAATATTTGCGACCTGAAAACTGCCGTTCAAATAAATATTATATCAACGACTAGGTGGTTTTTAGAACCATTAATTTTTTGTACAGAACGTATAAATTATGATATTTTTTATTTGCTTAAATTTAAATTTAAGAAAATTGATTAATGGTAACGCACGCATATAATTTTATCAATAATCAGGCTTCTTTATTTCAGAAAAAAGAAATCTTTTTTTTTAAAAAGCATGTTATCTATAAAATCTTGTGAGACTATGATTAGAATACAAATTTCTGTTCTTGGGACATATTCCTTAATCATAGAAAACTTTAAATTTGGAAAAAACGTTTCTGTAAAATTATATTTTCATAGAGAGGTATTTTTCAGGTCGTTTATAATTTCATATTTAAAATATATGATTATATCATAGTTTATAGTTTTTCCGATTTAAATAGAAAAACAAAATTTAGAGTCTAAATTATATTATAATATATTAATATTTTAATAACAGAATTATAAATAGAATATCTGCGACTTGAAAACTGCCGTTCAAATAAATATTATATCAACAACTAGATGGTTTTCAGAACCATTTTCTATACAGAACATACAAATATTGATATTTTATGATATTTTTTATTTGCTTAAATTTAAATTTAATAACATAATTAATGGAAACATAAGCATATAATTTTACCAATAATCAGGTTTCTTTATGTCAGAAAAAAGAAATCTTTTTTCAAAAAGCATGTTATCTATAAAATCTTGTGAGACTACGATTAGAATACAAATTTTTGTTCTTGGGACATATTCCTTATTCATAGAAAGCTTTAAATTTGAAAAAAACGTTTGTGTAAAATTATATATTCATAGAAAGGTATTTTTCAGGTCGTTTATAATTTCATGTTTAAAATACATATGAGTATATCATGTTGAACTATGATATGATTATATCATAGTTCTTCCGATCTAAATAGAAAAACAAAATTTAGAGTCAAATTATATTATAATATATTAATATATAAACTAATAACAGAATTATAGATAAAATATTTGCGACTTGAAAACTGCCGTTCAAATAAATATATCAACAACTAAGTTGTTTTCAGGACCATTAATTTTTTGTACAAAACATATAAACTATGATATTTGTTATTTGCTTAGATTTAAATTTAATAAAATGTGATTAATGGAAACATACAGGCATATAATTTTACCAGTAATTAGGTTTCTTTATTTCAGAAAAAGAAATCTTTTCAAAAAGCATATTATCTATAAAATCTTGTGAAACTATGATAATAATACAAATAGGATATATTCCTTATTCATAGAAAACTTTAAATTCTGATATCTTGAAATTGATAATTTTTTAATTTTTTTTAATTGAAAATAATAATAATGCCTTAAACGTAAAATGTGTATAATATATACAGATTGTTCACAAAACAGCAGTCCGTTTACAAAATGATAATTTGTTCATTGGAAACTCAAAGTGCATTTTTAATTTACTTATCAAATCGCGAAAAGTTTTTCAAAAATTATTAACAAATAAATATCATAATTTTATCATTGATTAAATAGCAATAGTGATGAATTTACAATCCCTTAAATATGCACATGTACTAATAAGTACTATATTTATATTTAATTTGCATTATTTGTATTATTCTAAGCAAATGGAAACATAGAATAATTCTATATAATTTGAAAGAAATTGATAAATCTGAAAACTGCCTATTTATTGATATTATATTTATTTGTAGTTTTTAGATCGCAATATAATATTTTAATGTACAGAGGATATTTCAGGAAGATTGATTAGTATTTTAGGATATAATTGTATATATCATTTTAAACAAAGAGTTTTTATAAATATGTATATTATTTTGAACGGTTATAAAAACAATACAATGTTCAGTTATAAGAAAACGTTTATTGACGCAAATACATTAATTAACGAATACATTTATTACCTTAATAAAATCAAATTTTGAAACAATTACATAAAATAAAATTAATACAAAACACATTACATAAAAGAAATTTTTTTTCTTCTCATTTATTGCACATTTATTTAAAAATAAATTCTGTCGCATGTACTTTATGAAAACTTAAAGAAAAAAGTATTTATTTTTATTTAAAATAATATATCTATTTTTCTCTTTCACTTCTCTTTTTAAGTATTAATTGTATCACAAATCTTTGTACTATAATTTTATAATAGAATGTGAGAGAAACAAAAGATAAGAAAAACAAAATATTTTGCTTTTAGTACTTAACACGAGTCTCAAATGAATATCAAATTTTTAAACAATTACATAAAAAATAAAATTAATATGAAACAATTACACAAAATAAACTTTTTTTTCATTCATTGCACATTTATTTAAAAATAAATTCTATCACATGTACTTCATAAAAAATTAAAAAAAAAGTATTATTTTTTTTTACTTAAAATAATCTATCTTTCTCTCTCATTTTCTCTCTTTATATCTTAAGTATTAATTGTATCACAAATCTTTGTACTATAATTTAATAACAGAATATGAGAGAAACAAAAGATAAGGAAAACAAAATATTTCTCTTATAGTACTTAATATATAAGTCTTAAATAAATATAATTTATGACAACAAACAGCTTAAATGTATGAAAAAATTATGATCATAACAAAAAACTAAGAAATTAATAAATTTTATATAATTATAAAGTTTTATATAGCAAAATTTCATACGTTATATGTTGTAAAATTACTTTAGGCAGTTTGATTTCAGAAAATACATATGTAGAGATGAATATTATTCGCTCTTACTATCAGGATCTGAAACATAGAATAATTATCTTATCTTTAATATTTTCAATAAAAGTATAAGACATGTACACACACATACACCTAATTATATAAGTGTAACTAAACAAACATATATGAAGCACACCGTCAGGTGCAGGACAATAAAGCAGATCGAAAAGTTCTGAGCCATTTTTTGATCTGATTGTGAGTTTTCTTTTCGAGGCAGAACCCTCATCCACACTGCTTTTCATTGTAGCCACGCGCTGATTAGCAAACTTTAACACTTTATAGTTATAGCATCGAGAAAAAAGCTCAAATCAAAAAATGACTCAGGATTTTTCGATTTGGTTTGTTTTCCTGTACCTGATGCTATGCTTCGCATATGTTTGTTTAGTCACACTCTGTATATTTAAAATTTATTGACTATTATACATATATAGTATTATTCAATATTATTAATATAATTCAGTTAATATAAAATAAGAAATTAGAATTAAAATCAAAATAAACTTATTTTAAATACATAATAAAAAAAGATGAATGTAACATAAATAGGAAAATTAATGTAAATATAAAAATTTATTTAGGGGTATCAGGGGGATCTGTGAAATTAAAATCTCAAGTATGAGATTATTCCACATACATATAATTCTTGGTAGTAAACGAAGAAAAATACGTGCCTTGTGTACAATTATTTATTTCCAACGAAAAATTAATTTTCGTTGGAATACACGCATTGATATCCGCGTTCGGCTCTTAAAGTCTTTCTCATATGTAGTTATATTTAATAAAAATTTGTAACTAACTGAAAATATAATTCCATATGTATATATATATATATATATATATATAGGGTGTCCGATAATAGTCGCATCAACCGTCGTGAGCAGGTAGAGCACGTTAAACTGAATAGAAAAGTCTTATACCATTTTGCTAAATTCGCAATAATTATTAAGTTATTAATTAAAATATCTAAGCAAATGAGCGGTTGGAAAGCGGTAGGCCGGACTCGGTGGGCATGTCAAATGGCTGTCGCTTAGTATCAAAAGTATCATCTTACTTTTCGGCGCCGCTACATTGCTCGCCCCTCGCTGCATGACGCCGCCTCTCGATCAAATAATGCTTTTGTTACCAAGCGACTTAAACAAATAAGTTATTCGACATGCCCACCGAGTCCGGCCTACTGCTTTCCACTCGCTCATTTGCTTAGATATTTTAATTAATAACTCAATAATTATTACGACTTTAGCAAAATGGAATAAGACTTTTCTATTCTGTTTAACGTGCTCTACCTGTCCACAACGGATGCGACTATTACCGGACACCCTGTATATAAAGATAATTACAGTTATATACATATATTTGCGAATAATATTTTTAATTTGCTTTTCAATTATTATTTATGATTTTAAAAAGTTTTGTCACACACATAGATTATTATATATTTTTAAAAAATTTTAATTGTTATAAAAAAATTACTAGCACTATAGTATTGAAAATATATTAAATATCATTACGCTTTACATAGTAAAAAACTTTTCTTAAAAAATGTAACATTTTTACCATTAACACGTGATTTAGTTTTTCTAGAAATTTGATTGTGGATCCAGCTTCTAATTTGTGGAATGGAACGACGGCTTAAACATTTGTTTTTCATTTTAATTTCTACCATATGTTTTCCTGAAGGCAAACGTCCTTCCGTCATCTCTTGTTTAAATGCTGTAATTATTATATTACTTTCTTCTTGTGTCCATCTTACGCGTTTCGTGGAACCATATGGTGAAGCTGCATAAAATTAAAATGTTACTATTATAAGAAATCTTGCACATACAATAAGAAAATTAGATAATTTTCATATATACTTACTACTACGTTTTTTTCTTTTATTTGTAGTATTACAAATTAAATTTGTATCTGAATCTGAATCACTGTCATTGTCCACTTGAAGTGTTTTATTGACAGTAAAATTATCTTTATCTGTATTAATGTGAAAGTCATTTTGTTGAATATCATCTTCAAAATCATATTCTTCACCCTGCGCTATTTTAAGTAATCGAGACATTTTAACTATTTCAAGTTGTGGAATGGACTGACGATAATGTTGCATGTGAATACTTTTATCATGGCCTAGATAATCGGCTAATTGTGTTATGTCAGGGTCTGACAAATTCAATGTAATGCATCTAGTTGCAATATGTTTGCGAAGCTTTGTACCTCGTAATCTAAGAGGCATACTTGCTCCACAGTCTAAGGAATATGTGCGTAATAAATCACATGCTCTTATATATTTAAATCGATTTTTATCATAACCTGGTAAAGCAAAGATATATGGATTTTTTTTGGGTATGTTTGCTTCCTTACGATACTGTAAGAGCAAATCTATAGAGCTTTTCATTTCACTATCCAAAAGGACAGGTACAGATCTTCCTAATTTTCCTCTAATGAGAAATCTTACATATTTATTGGCAATCTAAAATAATTATTTATTGTATTACTTACAGAAATATTCAAAAATTAATTATTAGAAATTACTTACAGAAATATTCAAAAATTAATTATTTAATATAATTGCAAATATTGTTAAAATGTTAAATTAATAATCTATTAATAATATTTAAACTCTTTTAGATTCTATTAATTAATAACATTTAAGAGAGCGAGAGAGAGAGAGAGAGAGAGAGAGAGAGAGAGAGAGTATTTACATCTTTCTCTATATATACATTAATTATTTAATAAAAAAATATGTTCTATAATTGCAAGATATAATTGATAAATTATAAATTAAATTATCTTAATATATTTCACAAATATATGAAAAATTCCATTTCTGCTCTCTCTCCCTCTCTCTATTTCTCTCTCTCTCTCTCTAATTATTAAAAGAATATGTAAATAGAAATTCAAAACTTTTTCTTTGAAAAGAAATTTTTTCTCTTTTTGTGAACAATCTAAATTTATATTTTATATTTAAAAAATTTTATATTTTATAAATTATATTTTCAAACTTATTAAAAATAATCTGATATGTAAAAATTGGAATATTTCTCTTTATAAATATATGATATATTAAAAATGCTCTACTCTCTATATCAAATTTATTTTAATTTATTATATTTTATAACAAATAAATCTGTTATATTTTGTAAAATTTTATATTTAATATATAATATATATTTTAATATATATTTTATTATAATATATATTTTAATCTGCAGTGTAATATTTGCTATATTATACTGAGTGATGATTATTGAATTGTACATAATTTATTCTGTGCATGTTATTTAATTGATTTATAACATTTAGATTCTTATTTTTTTTATGTAGTATATAATAAAAATATATAATAATAAATAATAATCATATAGAAAATATACAAAAAGTAAACATACCTTTTGAGCTTCAGGCGATAAAGATTCATATAAATCTGGATTCGTTCGCTCATTTATATCTTCCTGATGTTTGTAATCATCAATAGATATACGTTCTATTTCTCCGGCTCTTCGCCTATTGAACACTTGAACGGATATCAAGGTAAATTGTGCTAGCTGTCGCCAATTATTGTATGTAAATGTCTCACTGAGTCGTTGAAATGCCGAGCGTCTATTAATTTGTAGGAAATTGTGTAATAATTTTATATCTTCTAATGAAGGTAAATCCTGTACTTTATAGCGCTTAGCTTGTAATATGGATTCTTCAACAGTTTTATTAACAGACACACTAAAATCTTCTTGAAGTAACTTTAAAAAGTTTTCTATATCAACTTTGGCTTGCAATTTATTTTTTTTTATACATTCAGCAATACCCATATTTCCTATTTGTTTTATAAGTGTGCCAATTCTTGATGCAACAGAAGGAGCTGCATAAATTTTTGTGCTTGTATTAAAACCTGCTACTTGATTTACAGCTGTAATACAATCATCATATATCGATGGATGATAAATACTGTAAAAATCTGTTACATTCTTATTAATCCTTTTGAGGATTTGTAAAAATCTTCCTAATAATCTTAAACGAGATCTTATCATATCTTGTTGGTGTTGATGCTTGTATTTCAAACATAATTTATTGCCGTAAGTAATTAATAATTCATCATATCTAATTAATCTAGTAATATCATCCTCTCTTAATACTGGAAATACAACATTTCTCAAAATAGAATTTGCACATTCATGAATTCGGCCTTGGACTTTTCTGCCAAGTACTTTGACACATCTGCCAACAGTTTTCTGAGTGCACTCTTTAAAATGATGACGTATATTATTTTTGGTAAAAAAGCCTTTACATCCAGCGCAACATATAAAATCACATGCAGTTTTTTTTCTTGATTCTGCTGGTCTTCTACAAACTATAAGCTCTCCCTTATTATATGCAGGATCTGTGTTGAACAAATAATTTCCTCTTCGTCTGAGAAGTCCAATAATCTTCTGCCTTTCTTTATTACCTAATATAAAATACAATATTTGTATTAAAAAAGAAATAAAAATATAATTAAATTATTAATAAAATACAATTATCGAATATTTATATATACAATTAGAAAATACACAAAAGAACGGTATTCTATGATTAGAAAATAGTTTGAGAGCATATGCAATCATTAATACATATAATAATATAAATTTTTTCAACTTGTTTAAATGTGTTTAATAAATACAATATCAAAAAACTTCTATTATAAAATAATTTTTAATAAAATAATGCAATAAGTAACAAATAAATTCTATTGTAAAAATAATAATTCAATAAAATAAAATAATTCATTAAATAATGGAAATATCGCTGCTATATAATATATAAATAGAATAACATGAAAAAATAAAAATAAATATCAAAAAAATACATATTTCAACAATATATTTTCTATACCTTTCGGTAATGCAGCAAATTTTTTTACTTCTTCTTCATTTTTATGCACCCGTTCTAGATGCCTACTTATCTTTGATTGCATTTTCTTGCAATAATAACAAAAATTTTGTTTTCCTGTACCTTTAGGATTTGAACATTTAACTTGTAAATTTGTATCATCACAGATTTTTTGTCCAGAAACATTTAATGAAGTTTCTATACTTCCTGTAACGTTATTAGATTCTATTGGACATGATTGTACAGACATATTATTCTCCTCATCAGAATCTTCTAAATCTGAATAGCAATAATCAGGATCTGTATCTATATTATCATTGCTACAGTCACTGCTACTATCAGGAGAATGATTTACATTAGAAGATGCTTTATGAAACAGTTTCAAGTTCTTATTAGTATCTTGCATCAGGTTTGCTTCATATGTACTATTATTATTTACTTCATTTCTATTATTATCCTGAGTTTCCATATTATCACTATTGTTGTAACTGCATGAGTCATCAAGATTATCATTAAGCATATTAATTTCGTCTGTATTCCAATTTACTATTCTATCTAAAGATACGTCTAAATGATTCAGTTCGTCAATTGAAATTATTTGATCAAGACTGTATTCTAATGTAGAATTATTAGTATTCGTTTCAGATGGAATAAGTACATCATTATATAGATTGTATTCTGGCAACGTAACATTAGAAGATTCATCTCGTACTAATTCAGTACTTATTTTTTCATGTAACTTATTTTGATTTTGTTTCGTCAGCTCTTCAGTATTTACAATTTTAGAAAGTGTGTGAAAATTCTTTGTGGTTTTAATGGTACATTTAGATTTATTAGTTTCATCACGAGAAACAGTATCCTTGTCAGCATTATTATTGACTGAAAATAAAGATTCTTCTGTAATTAACTGAATCATTAGTTTTTTTCATTTTTTATAATATAAACAAAAATTACAATTTTTACCATTGTCTTTATGCAATTGCACGACTGGTATTTTCAAACTTAGGTTATCACTTGTATTTGTACATTGTAGATTGTTGTCTAACACAGCATTAAAGATAATTTTATTTTGCAATTCAGCATTTTTATCTGACGTATCAATTTGTTTCATAAAATTATCAGTATGTATAGCTTCTATACTGGTAGGAAGTGTTTGAGAATTATTTGTTGTTTCAATAATAGATTCAGATTTATTATTTAAATTATGAGCCATGCATGGCTCAACATTATCAACGACTATAAAACAATAAATTATGATCATTTGTAAAATATTAAAAAGTTTAATAAAATATTAAAATGTTATGTGATTTCTAAAATATTTTATAATATAAGCAAAAATTATGTTTCTTATCTTTATTTGATTGCGTAACTGGTATATCTAGATTGCATTCTGGCAATGTGACATTAGAAATAGATTTATTTTGTACTAATTCGGTACTTATTTTTTCATCTAACTTATTTTGATTTTGTGTCGTCAGCTCTTCAGTATTTACAACTTTAGAAAGTGTTTGAAAATTCTTTGTGGTTTTAATGATACATTCAGATTCATCAATTCCATCATGAGAAACAGTATCCTTGTACCCTAATAAAACCCAATACCCTAATAAAATTTTAAAATATTATGTAACTTGTAAAATATTTTATAATATAAGCAAAAATTATGTTTCTTACCTTTATTTAATTGCATAATTGGTATATTTGAACTGCATTCTGGCAATATGACATTAGAAGCAGATTTATTTTGTACTAATTCAGTACTTATCTTTTCATCGAACTTATTTTGATTTTGTTTCGTCAACTCTTCAGTATTTATAACTTTAGAAAGTGTTTCAAAATCCTTTGTGGTTTCATTAGTACATTCAGATTTATCAGTACCATTACAAGGAACAGTATCGTTGTCGACATTATTATTGACTGTAAAATGAAGATTCTTCTGTAATTAACTGAAACATATTACAGTTTCTTTTCATTTTTTATAATATAAACAAAAATTATACTTCATACCATTGTCTTTATTCAATTGCACAACTGGTATTTTCAAAGTTAGGTTATCACTTGTATTTGTACATTGTAGATTGTTGTCTAACACAACATTAGAAATCATTTCATTTTGCACTTCAGTATTAGCATTTTTATCTGACGTATTAGTTTGTTTCATAAAATTATCAGTATGTATAGTTTCTATACTGGTAGGAAGTGTTTGAAAATTATTTATTTGGACAACAGATTCAGATTCGTTACTTATATTACGATTGCAAAGTGTATCAATATTATCACCGACTGTAAAAAATGAATTATAACCAATTGTAAAACATTTTGTATCATAATGTATATAAGTAAGAATTAAATTCTTACCTTCACTCAATTGCATGACTGATACGTATGGATTGCATGCTGGCAGTGTAATATTAGAAGTTGATTTATTTCCTAATTCCATATTGATATTTTTATCACACATATTATTTTGTTTTGTCAACTCTTCAATATTTATAATTTCAGCAGAAAGTGTTTGAAAATAATTTGTAATAATACAGTCAAATCCATCAATGGTGTTATGGACAACAGTATGTATCAAGGTTAAAAATAAAAAATATTAACAATTAATTATTTTAACATGCTACAGTCTTTTAATATATATTTTTTATAATATATAATATAAAAATTATAATACTTACCAATGTCTTTGTGCAATTGTAAGACTGATATTTTTAAATTTAAATTTTCAGCTATTGCTTCAAGCATTTTATGATTATCTATATCAAAACATTTTTATATTTATTAGTACATTATAAATATAATTTGGTTATAACTATCAGAAAAATGCATCTATCAATGTTAATAAAATTGATAAAAATGTAATCTTATGTACAGAATAAATCTATAAAAAAATTATTAAGGTTTCCATAACGAATTTGTTGTAGTGTTTATAAATTAAAAAAATAGAATATAATTACTACATTAAGTTAGAATATAATTACAAATTGAAGAATTTCTTTAAAGCAACATGTTTATCTTTATAATCATAAACATTAAAAAAAATTATAGAATTTAAACAATATTTTATGCTTATAATAAAATACTTACCATTCAAGACTATTAATTGTTTCCTTCTTCGTGTATTACGAATGTAAACAGAATACTTCTTCTGATATTTATGTAGACCATACATTATCACTAAAGCGATATATCATTAGTAGTTTCAAATATAACCTTTATTAATGCAATACACACGATTGCAAAACTATTACGCTATCTGAGATTTGGACACACATTATTAAAATATATATCACGTACTGGCTATGTTTAATAGCATATAAAGCACTTCGTAAACGTTAATAAGATGCAAATTTGTGGAACAAGTCTTTGCGTGCGCGGGAAACGTTTCTTACTTTCCATTAAATACATAGAAATATAAGAATAAAGCGCGTGAGCGAGTTGAAACAGCGAGAAAGAAATAGAGAGAGCGCTGCCATATAGAGTACACTGTCTTTATCAGTCCTTGTTCAGCGGCGCATGCGCCATAGGCCCGTTTCTGCCAACGTCGATTAAATTAAACCTCCGGTTAAATTATATGTTTCTCTCTTTTTAAAAACTTATTTGAAAAGAGACAAAGACATAGTGTAACCGGAGGTTTAATTTAATCGACGTTGGTAGAAACAGGCTATAAAGCTAGAGTATGGCGCATGCGCCGCTGAACAAAAACTGACGGACAGAGTATTCTACATATATGGCAGCGCTCTCTTTTTATTCCTTTCTCGCTGCCTCGTATGCAGGATTCACACTGCATCCGATATCCGACGTACGACGTCTGATAGCCAATAAGAAAATTTGATTTCGCGGAGACTCTAAAAATCAAATTTTCTTATTGGCTATCAGACGTCGTATGTCGGATATCGAACACAGTGTGAATCCTGCATTACGTGCTAGCATATGACTCACGCGCTTTATTCTTACATCTCTATGATTAAATAAGAAGAAATTAAGATGACAAATTCTGTAATAACAAATCCATCCTATACAGTTCAAGCGTAGACTTTACATACCAAGATGTACCTTGTGCGGTCTGAATCGTGTTGTGAAATGACAGACTAAAATCCGATCCATACTCAACCCATGTTTATTTAAAAAAAAATTATTTATAAAAAAATATATTAAGAAACAATTATGACTCCTGCACACAGAACGCGATAAAGCTTGCCACGCGGAAAGAAGCGACGCGGTAGCCAATAAAAGTTGGATCGAGTTCAACTTTTGGTGCGGCAGAAATTTAATTAGCTGCCGCGTCGCTTCTTGACGCGCGGCAAGCTTTATCGCGTCCTGTGTGCAGGAGCCATAATTATACAAAATTTATTATTAATTAAATATATTATTTTAATTATTAGTAATAAACTTATTTTATTAGTAATAAATTAATATCAATAATAATATATATTAGCTGTAATAAATTATTAATTTATTTAAAATTAATATTATTAATAGTAAATTAATCATAAATATATGCCCACCAATAAATAAATACTTAATTTAAGAGTATACTTAATAAAAGAGTGATAAAATTTAAGAACAATACTTAATAAAAGAGTGATTCAATCGAACATAAGTTAATGAGAAAATGGACTAATCGCTTTCAGAGTGATCAAATCTGCTTCAGCCAAAAACACCGTATATATATATACACGTACGTACATGCATTGTATCACATAAAAATATTTCTTTTTTTCTCTTTTTCTCTTCACATTTATTTCCTCTACTCTGCCTTTTTTCTCTTTATCATCAAATGTCTTGCTAAGAGTAAACACATGGAAAGAGAAAGGGAGAAAAAAGAAAGATAAATATTTTTAATATATACTTTGCATACAGATGCACACATGCACTCGTATGTATACAGGGTGTCCCATAGTATCTTTAACAACATTTTGGAGATAATGGAATGGATCGAAATGATCACAAAAGTCTTATATCATTTTGCTAAATTCGTAATAATTATTCAGTTATTAATTAAAATATCTGAGCGAATGAATAATCGAGTGAAAAACGGTAGGCCGGAATTAGTGGGCATATATGATGACTTATTTGCTTACGTCGCTTAGTAAAAAGTATTATCAGAACGAGAGACGGAGTCATGCAGCGAGTCAACAGCAAGCAATAACACCGCGCCGAAAAGTAAGATACTTTTATTACGAAACGAAATAGACAAATACGCCGTCCTACTTGCCCACTGATTCCGACCTACCGCTTTCCACCCACTCATTCCCTCAGATATTTTCATTGCTAACTCAATAATTATTTAGATATAAGCAAAATGGTATACTACTTTTTTATTCATTTATATTCGTCCTATCACTTCATGAACATTGTTAAGCCATGCAGCGAACAGCGAGAATGACTCTGCCCCTAAAAGTAAAATAATACTTTTGTTACTAAGCGAAATAGACACACACGCCATTCTACATGCACGCTGATTCCGACCTACCGCTTTTTATCATCCGTTCATTCTCTCAGATATTTTAATTACTAACTCAATAATTATTAGGAATTTAGCAAAATGTATAATACTTTTTTGTTCATTTATATTCATTCCATCACCACACGAACATTGTTAAGGATGCTCTGGGACAACCTGTACATATTTATATGAAACGGCAACTTTCAGTCCACCTTCAATAATAAAATGGCAGTTTCCAGGACTTCTAGCAGTTTTCAGATCAGTCCTGAAAGTTTTGTCTTCTAAACGGCAGTTTTCAAGACGTCCTGAATAATGCCTATCAACCTGTTATATATAAGGCTCTTGATACACAACCATTATGTAGATTAGTTTTATCTAATAATATGTATAAATACTTTCATTTAATAACTAATTTATAGATATGAAAAAGCATGTATATATCTAAATATTTTCTTAATGTATACATGGCATCGCAGAACATTCTTAACAACGTTCCTGAGGTGATAGAATGGATCAAAATGAACACAAAAGTTTTATATCATTTTACTAAATTCGTAATTATTATTCAGTTATTAATTAAAATATCTGAGCGAATGAATGATCGGGTGGAAAATGGCAAGCCGGAATCGGTGGGTATATAAGAAGACTTATTTTGTTTATGCCGCTTAGTAACAAAAGCATTATCAGAATGAGAGACGGAGTTTTGTAGCGAACAGCCAGCAATGACACCGTGCTGAAAAGGAAGATGATAATTTTGTTATTAAGCGAAATAAACAAATACGCCATTATACATGCTCATTGATTCCGACCTATTGCTTTCCATCTACTCATTCCCTCAGATAATTTAATTACTAACTCAATATTAATTTAGCAAAAAATTTAGCAAAATGGTATACTTTTTGTTCATTACTAGCCGTTCCAACATCTCCCGAACATTGTTAAGGATGCTCTGACACACTCTGTATATATTTATATGAAACGGCAATTTTCGGTCCACTTTTAATGATGAAATGGCAGTTTCCAGGACTTTTGGTAGTTTTCAGGTCAGTTTTAATTTAATAATAAATTTATAGATACGAAAAATCATTTATAGATGTCTTTTCTTAATGTATACATAGTGTCCAAAAGAATCTGTAACAACGTTCCTGAGGTAACAGAATGAATAGAAATGAACACAAAAGACTTATATCATTTTGCAAAATTCGTAATAATTATTCAATTATTAATTAAAATATCTGAGCGAATGAATGAGCGGTTGGAAAACAGTAGGCCGGAATCGGGCAAATAAGATGACTTATTTGTTTACATCGCTTAATAACGAAAGCATTATCTGAGCAAGAGACGGAGTCATGCAGCGAGCAGCGAACAATGACGTCGATCTGAAAAGTAAGATGATACTTTTGTTACTAAACGAAATAGACAAATACGCCATTCTACATGCCCACTGATTCCGACCTACCGCTTTCCATCCACTCATTCCCTCAGATATTTTAATTACAAACCCAATAATTATTAGAAATTTAGCAAAATGGTATAATACTTTTTTGTTCATTACTATCCGTTCCATCACCTCACGAACATTGTTAAGGATGCTCTGAGACACCCTGTATATATTTTATATGAAACGGCAGTTTTCAGTCCACTTTCAATGATAAAATGGCAGTTTCCAAGACTTTTTTTCGGGTCAGTCCTGAAAGTTTTATCCTATCAACCTGTTTATATATGTAGGAGGTCCTGGATACACAACCATTATGTAGATCAGTTTTATCTAACAATTTGTATAAATACTTTAGTTTAATTATAAATTTATAGATACGAAAAAGCGTGTATAGATATCTTTTGTTAATGTATACATGCGGTGTCCAAAAGCATCCTTAACAAAGTTCCTAATGTGACAGAA